TCACAAGTAGGCAGAGAAGCAGACAGATAGAGAGAGGTGGAAGCAGGCTCCCTGCAGAGCACAGAGCCCGATGTGGGGCTTGATCCCAGGACACTAGGACCATGACCTGAGCCGAAGGCAGAGGCTTTTAACCCACTGAGCCACCCAGGTGCCCCTGTCATTGTAGTTTTAAATATGCATTTTCATGATGACTAAATGATATTAAGTATCTTTCCATGTGCTTATGGGAAAATCATATATCTTCTTTTGTGAATCGTCTTTTAAAATATTTTTCCAGTTTTTAGTGGGTTGATTTATTTTTAAGTTTTTTGAGCTCCTCATGAATTCTAGATGTAAGCCATTTGTCAGACATGTGTAATTCCAATATTTTCTTCTATTCTTTAGCTTGAATTCTGGGTTTATTAGTGCTCATTTTAGGAGCAGAATTTTTAGTTTTGATTAAGTTCAACTTATCATTTTGCTTTTAGTTTTACCCTTTGATCTCCTATTTAGGGAATCTTTACTGACTCTATAGAAAGCAAATGTTATAGATATGGATTTAATGTTTAAGTTTATGACACATTTCAAGTTGGTATGTGTATAATATGAGGTGAGTGTTGACCTTAGTTTTTTAATGCACATGAGTAAACTGTTGTTCCAGAGCCATTCCTTTCTCTGTTGAATTAATATGGCACCCTCGTCAAAAGTCATTTGAGTATATATGCATGTGTGTATAAGGCAACATCATATATTTATTTATTTCTGGATATCTATTTTGTTTCATTGATTAAATTCTATTCTTAGGACCATTTTGATTACTGAAGCTTTATAGTAAGTCTTTCAATCCAGGAGTGTGAGTAGTCCAAGTTTATCCTTAAAAAAAAATTTTAGCAATTCTAAGTTTATTTTCATATAAATTTTTGAATTATCAATTTTTATAAAAAATGAAAACTTGATTTAGAATGGAATTTTGATAAATCTGTCAATTTAAGTAGAATTACATTTTAATATTGAGTAGTTTAAACTATGATCTGATGTTCTTTAATTTCATGCAGAAGTTTAACAGTTTCTAATGTATAAGGAGTGTACATATTTTGTAAAATTTATCCCTAAGAACTTTATTTTTTTGTAAATGGTATATCTTTTCAATTTTTTTTTTGTTACTAGAGAAATCAATTGATTCTGTCTATTGAGCTTACATTCTATAATCAAAACAAATCTGATTATTAATTCTAGGAGCTTTTTTGAGGGTTTCATAGGATTTAGGCAAGTTCTGTCATCTTTCTTTCCAGTCTGTGTATGTTTTTATCTCTTGCATTATTGCATTGGCTAAGACTTAACCCCCTCCCTTACTCCAGCCTGGAACAATGTTGAATAAAAGTGATGAGAGAAAGTTTACTTTGTTTCGAATTTTAGAGAAAAATATTTATTTTCACCATTTATATGAGTTAGCTTCTCATAAATGAACTTTATCAGACTGAGGAAATTCTCTCTTAATCCTAATTTCATGAGATATTTTATCATCAATGAATATTGGATTTTATCAAATGCTTTTTATGTATCTATTGAGGTAAGCATATGAGATTTTTTCCGTTATTCTGATAATATATTGCATTACAATAACTGATTTCCAAATGTCAGAAAACCTTGGATTCCCAGGATAAATTACACTTAATATTTTTTATATTGCTGAATTTTAGTTGCTAATATTTAGTTAATAGTCTTTTTTTTTTTTTGTATTTATGTTCATGAGGGCTATTGACCCATGGTTTTTTGTTTTTTGTTTTTTTTATTGTAATGTCTTTGGCTGGTTTTGTTATCAGTGTAATACTATCCTGTGGAACTAGTTGTGAGTATTCATCCGTTTTTATCATTTATGAGTCCCTCTTTATTAACCGATTTTTCCTCATGATTATAGTCCACAGCTTACTTCTTTGGGGACATCTATATCATTTTAGATTGGATGATGACTATTTGATACTTTACGTTGTTGATGTGTTGCTTTGTTATATTTTGTTGTCTTTATCAAAGATTATCAGACCTTGTCCTGGGAAGCCTTTAAATATTTTGGTTTTTTCATTTTTTTCAGGGCTTATTTTTAGGCTGTGCTAGGGTTTATCTAGAGTCACCCTCACTCTAGGGGTATTTTAGCATAACTACTAAAGTGTGACTCTTGTGATATCATCAGTCAAGGTGATCAATAAGGATTTTCCAATATAGCTGGTCAGACCCCGAATGTCTTTCTGCCCTGGATGATGTCTAGGAATTTTCAGCATACAGCTCTTTTTTGCCTAGTTTCATGAAGATTTACCCTAAGTGCTTGCACAGTTTAATATCCCATTATCAACAGATAGAAAGTCACCTATATGCAGATTTTTTGGAGGTCATCGTGTAGCTCCTTCCTGTCTGGTACTGTGCTCCACGAATTCCAGCTATTGTAGGCCCCTTGCTCCAATCTATGTCTCCTCAACCCAGTGTGACTTTCAGGTTCTACTTAGGGATCCTCTTCTATGCAGTTGGTCTGAAATGTGTCAAAGTCAGGCCCTCATAGAGCTAACAATTTTATTTCTCTCTTTTCATGGATCATGGTCTTGTTCTGCCTTTTGTTCATCGTCTGAAAAAGTTGTTTAGTTTTTTAATTGTTTATAGGGGTATGATAAATATAGTCTCTGTTTTTAACTATGGCCAGGAGTATAATGCTTTCACCCATTTTTTTTTAGATGAATTAACTTAGATTAAAAAGACTAAGTAGTACAGTGATGAGGAATAGAGATTTGGGATTTAGGTTGGAATCCAAATTTTTGCTGTTTACTAGTTGTACAACCTGGGTAAATTATATAACTTTCTGTCTTGGCTTCCATATCTTTAAAATAGATATGCTTATGTTTATGTTTATGATGCTAACAACAATAAAAATAATATAATATAATATTAGAAATTATTTCTTACCATTATTGTGATGATTAACCAAGATGATGAATGTGAAGTGTTTAACATAATGCCTGGCATGTAGTCAATCTTGGATATGGTGTTAGGAAACTAATGATATTGTCCATGATCATGTCAGTAGAATTCTGACTTCAAGTTCAGGAATGTAACATTGATGGACATGATAGATGTTTTTCCATTATTTAACAAAACAGTTTTTTTTTTTTAAAGTATCCAGAACAGGAAAATATATTCAGGTCCACCCGCAGGGCAAATCCCCCTGAAGCAATGACAAAGTATACTCATTTAATAAAACATGAGAAACCTAGTTTGTGTTGGTGGGGAAATTTTTAAGGGAAGATCTGTGCATAATTCACCATTAATTCTTAGCTCAGGATAACTATTATTTAATTAACCACAATGATGGATATCTTGAATATGGGTCATAATAAACACTTTCATATTTTTGATACTAGTGTCATCCAAAGCATAAGTTTTAAAGGACATATCCAGTTTTCTTTTTAGAACCCCACAAAATTCTGAATAATCACAAGTAGGGCTCAATAGAGGAAAATCAAGGGAGGCTAGCAAGTTCATTGATGAAGGTTTGTTTATGTCCTAAGTTGATCCTCATGATGGCAGGTAGACAAGAAATAAGACATAGATTTGTCAGATGTGTAATGGAATATTTCAGCTCAGCAAGGGGAATTTAGAAGTCTTTCTCTGCTAGCTGATCACAGCCACTGTGTTGGCCAACAACATCTGCTTATTCTCAGATGACAACAGTGCCATTTAATTAGCTCTTGTTTATGTTTTGCCTATTGATAGACTTAAATTATATTCATATTGTCATGCAGAATAAATACATAAAAAGGTTTAGCTTTGATCTAATTACAGCCTTTCTATTGCTGCAGTGACATTTGAACTGTATATCAGAATAAAAAGATTATAATAAGTCAGGCATAAAAAGTAGATCTAAATCAGAGAATTTAAAAAAACCATCTGATTAATAATAATTCTGGTCAAAAACAAAATACGCTACTTCAACAGAGGTTTAAAGTTGATTTATAAAAATTCAGACATTAGTGCCACAAAATGCCACTAATATCTCCACCAAGTCCTCAATCCTCTTTTCACTTGGACTGTTTTAAAGATTTAATGCTATATTTATTAGTATAAAGCATATTCTTTATGGAAAAATCTTGAACTAGAAAAAGTTGCATTCTTTTATGACCATCAAAAAGCTTTCTCTCTTCTGATCCTTATAAACTCTCTTCCAATAATACTCATGAAAAGTCAAGTAAATGGTTTTTCTAGAAGCCAGAATAACATATCACTTTGTAGTAATTTAAACCGCAGGAAAGTTTGCTTCTTTGCAGTACGTTCTGTGTAACAAGACTTCCACTGAGGAGCTCAGCTCAGTACAGCATTCTAGACGTGTTTTCACTTTCCAGAAGGAGTATTTTCCTTCTGGAGACAAATGTTCTGTGGTTGGCCTTCTCCAACCTTTGTTCTTCCCATTTAGAGGATTCTAGGTTAGAGGTGATCATAGGTAAAGCATCCCTCAAGGGAAGTGTATGTATTGCTTTTTTCTCTACCTTCTTGCTTGCTTTTTCCCCAAGCCCATATCCCCCTTCTCTCTTCTCAAAGAAACACAAAGGAACACCATTCAGTAATACAGACATGCTTGCTTGGTGTGTCCTTAATTAGAAATAGTCCAGACATCAGGAACCTAAAACCAAGATGATTATACAGTTCTTTAAGCTGGAAGTTTTGAAATACTGTGCAAAAAAAGAAATTTTAAAAAGCAGTTTTGAATCTACCATTCTGTCTTCACTATACTGCTCTCACATCGCTAAGATAATTTAGCAGGGAAAACAGGTTAGGTAATCATTAACTTAAAGAGCTATCTGCCACTGGCAGCTTATTAGTTCCAAGGCTTTCCACAGAACTTCAGCCAACATGACATTTTGATCCCTTGTGTCCAAGAAGAGGTCAAGGTTGATCAGTCAGCTTTCAGCAGAAGAATTTGTTCTTGATGGAGGGGCAGCTATAATTGTATGGTATTTTTAGGAAAGTGATACACTGAAAAATAATATCATAATTACATATTTATGAAGTGTTGGTTTCTACAAACTGGGGATTTGATGATAACTGCTAGAACAAATCATTACATTCCTAAAAAAAATTAAAGAAAAAAAATAAAAATGCACATACTGTCAACCAAATTGATTATGGAAAATCTCAATCCTGTTATCATCTTAATGAATGCAGTACAGAGTGTCATAAATGCCCCTTACATCCTTGTCACAGTGTGAATTACAAATAGAAAGACCAAATAAATGGTAAACTGACTTCTCTTTCATGGAGTCTGATTTGTGAATCCTTTGCTCCTTTCTCACTTATTACAGATGCCTTTCATTAGTGAATTCTCATATTCAAATAATCAGCCCCTAAATATTCATAATTATGGGAAGACTATACCATTGCCATTTTCACAGTCACAGTATGTTATTTTTAGTGAGTTGAATATAGTAAGTATTTATTAAAAGTAACACATGAAAATACAAATAAAGTATCTTTATGTACAAAGTGGCATGGCATGATTTCTACCTAAATTTAATAATACACTTGCAAATTGTCCCTGCATTAACATAGTACAAAACAATAAATACAAACGTCAGGTAATATAAGAACACCAAGAAAATAGGAAAGTCTCCATGGATAAGAACTGTTGGCTCTGGAAACTTTAAACTCGAAGGTCATGTCATCATGAACCCACCTGCCTAGGCTGTCAGGATAACTGCTCACAAATATCCTTCCTAAAATTCAATCTCCTAAGAATATTCCTGTAAAATGTAAGAATGTGCTTTTTCACTTCTCAAATGATGGGAGAGGCCCAGGCTTCTTTGTGATTCTCTAAAATTATTGCGTGTCATCTGGACATCACTTTATTGGGACAGGTGACTGGCACAGACTGGAGAGCAGGAATGGAAGTCAGGATTGAGTCCACAAATTGAATATCCCTTCTTATCCCTGGAGCACAGAAGCTGAAGATTAAGCCTGTGGGGGTGGAAAAAGAAAGTTCAGATTCCAAGAAAGGGAGGAAGTAGAGACACTGGAAGGGCCATTTCTTGTTAAGAAATGTTAATAACTTGCTGAATTTTTTCCACCCAGTGGAATCACTTGACTATCTCACAAGCACTTCTAAACTCAACATGTCAACAAAACACACTACAGTAACCTCACCCCCATCCCAGTCTATGGCTTTGTTTCTCATGATTTCAGCTACTTGCAGTCAAATTCAGTCTGGAAGCAGCTAATCCTCCTTCTGATCTATTGTTAAGAAGGTCAATAGTTTGTAGCAACATGGACAGGACTGGAAGAGATTATGCTGAGTGAAATAAGTCAAGCAGAGAGAGTCAATTATCATATGGTTTCACTTATTTGTGGAGCATAACAAATAGCATGGAGGACATGGGGAGTTAGGAGAAGGGAGTTGGGGGAAATTGGAAGGGGAGGTGAACAATGAGAGACTATGGACTCTGACAATCTGAAGGGTTTGAAGAGGTGGGGGGGTGGGAGGTTGGGGGAACCAGGTGGTGGGTATTAGAGAGGGCACGGATTGCATGGAGCACTGGGTGTGGTACAAAAACAATGAATACTGTTATGCTGAAAATAAATTTAAAAAAAGATTATTAAAAAAAGTATCAATAAACATATAATTATAAGTAAATATTTATATATTGTAGTAACTATAAATATAAATAAAAACATAAATATGTAATAAACAGCATGAATACATATTTGTATATTATATTAAATATATATAAATATTAAAAAAAAAGAAGGTCAATAGTAGCTCGAGGCTACGTCACAACACCTATGTCAGTCACCTTCATCCATCAAGCAGACATTTTGTCATCTCACATCATCATAAGAAGAGTGAGTACAATATAATAAGATATTTGGAGAGAGAGAAAAACTGCATTCACATAACTTTTATTACAGTTTATTTTTAAAACTCGTATTTTAGTATCAGTTACTGTTGTTAATCTCTTCCTGTGCCTTATTTGTAAATTAAACCCTATCGTAGGTGTGTATGTACAGGAAAAAACATAGTATGTACAGGGTTTAGTACTATCCATGGTTTCAGGCATCCATTGGGGGTCTTGGAACATGTGCACTGCCTGCCAAACCTGTTTCCTCTCACCACACAATTCTAATCTTTGCTGTAACCCCCATGGTCCACCCAGGCACTCATGTTGGAAATGTGGACATATCTATATTCCCAATCTTCCTCATTCCCCAGTGCCCACATTCAATCAATCATGACCTCTGGAGATGTTTACCTTCCAGACATTTCTCTATTCCATTCTGCCTCTTCATCTCCATCCCTACTGTACCTGCAGAACTGGTGAAGCCCTTGAGCTTTACTTAGGCAATCAATATTGCAACAGTTTTGTTTTTTTTTTTAACTTCTCTGCTTCCAGTCTTATTCCTCTTGAATTAATCTTTATTAAACACTTGGTGATGTGTCTTCAGCACAAATCTCATCATATTCCTCTTCTGATTAAAGTCCTTGACTCTACCCTATCATTAATGGGACACAGTTCAAGGTTTGTTCCTTGGGGTGATAATGTGAAAAATGGAGATATTTATTAGCAACTTTTAAGCTTTGCTGCTGTGTGTTTATCAGGGGGAAGCATGAACAGACAACTCTCTACTTCTTCTTCACAAGGAGAGAAGGCGAGCCAGAGCTTTCTTTATGACTTTGGGGTTTGCTTCTTTGCAGTGCAGAAACAACTTTATCTGTTGGTCCCACAAGGAGCAGAAGATGGAGATTTTTGTGCCTAAGTGGAAAAGGGTAAGTGGTCTGACCTGGCAAATGTTAGATGTTGTCGTGTTGTTGATGGCAGGACTGGCAGTTCCCAAGCATCTGGATGGGGTAGGCCCTGGTACCAGGGGTAAAAACCTGCACCCTGCTCCTTCATAGCATGGTTGGTGACTGCAGGTACTTTGATAGGGATGGTTAGTCATACTTCTGCCTCACGTGGAGGAAAACCAAACCCTGGCTGCCATGGTGGGGAGTGGTTTGGAGAGCAGTGAGTGGCCACAGGATCCATGTCAAGCTTTAGTCTATGGAAAAGATCATAGAACAGAGTATTTCTGATGTCCTCCCAGAGTATCTGCAGTAGACAGATAGTCCAGTTTATGCTAGAGCATAGCATAACTCTAGAAGAAGCACAGTGATCATAGGCATGACTGCAGAACAGAACCCCCATCTAAAATTTGGAACTGATTTCCTGGATATTTTACATCCAAGTTTGCAGGATTAGGGGGTCTACCAAAATGAGTAAATATCTACATGGTGTTAATGAAGAAGGAAAGAACCTCATTTTATTCTGTGTAGAAAACATATTTTATTCTTGCTTTCTGCAGTCCTTGCCCATTTACTGTGGAAAACAAGACCTCCCACTATCTGGTGTCCTCTATTGCTTCAGCCCTGTTTTCCAATCTTTCTGATATTGAACTATATCCTCTAGGCCAGTGCATCTCAAACTATGAATGATTAGGACCAGATATATATTTTTTTCAATTTCTAATCAGCAGCAAAATGATACTAAAAAGTATAATAACATGAATAGATTGTTGCAATGATATCAAATTGCTATAATAATTTTTAAAGATTCATACTCAGTTTCTATAATTAATCTCACCATAGAACAGTACCAACAGCTCACTGACCTAGCAGCAGATGTGCATAGCATAGCCCTAGAACAACCAGTTATTTCTAATTTCTTTCATATACCTATAGTTGCTTATCCTAAAAGTCTCAGCTCAAATGCCATCTTTCTAAGCAATTAGCCGTTAAGTTCAAGGTACCATGTCTAACTTTACATACCACTATCTTATTAGTAGGTGTTCAGAATGGTTAGATAACTATCTAACCATTGAGAGCAATGCCAGCCCCAGCATCGAAGGTAGAGGAGTGGGTGTCACTGTTAAATATTATTTACCATATTAAAGTAAAATTATCTTCCTTATGTATATTTCTCTTCTCTTCATGGCAACATGCCATGTCCCTGTTTACACCTGGTCTCATACTTGGCAAAAAGCAGGATCTCTGTCACTTTTTGTTCAACTGACCCAGACTCTTCTGTAGGTGAGTTTTCAGGTGCAGTCAAGAGTTTGCAGCACAGACCAACTAGGTGAGCACCGGGATTTATGTGAATAGGATAATGCTCTTGATTAATACTGTATTGATTATATTTTTCAAGGATCAGCAAGTAATATGGGAACAAACTGATATTTTTATTAGAGTACTCTTCACATTGATAATCTTTTTTTCAAGACTTGGATTTTGCTACATTAATGAATTTTTTTCCTCAGTTAGAAGTTTCAATTTGAATGTACCAGTAATCAGTATTTGCTTCTCTTCCAAAGTTATAATCTCTCTAAATTTAGTGTGCTGTCTTCAGTAATAATAATGCATGACTTTATGGTCACTAAATGTCTCACAACCCTAAAATCTTATAAATTTATGATGCTTATAAGGAAAAAATGATCACACTCAGGAGGAAGCAAGATGGCAGAGGAGTAGGAAACTGAAATAGCATTGGGTCCCAGGAGTTCAGCTAGATAGTTATCTAACCATTCTGAACACCTACAAACTCAACAGGAGATAGAAGAGAAGAAGAACAGCAATTCTAGGGACAGAAAATCAACCAGTTTTGGGAAGGTAGGACATGTGGATAAGTGAATCTGAAGAGACTGGAAGAAGATAGACCATGGGGGGGAGGGGGTCAGCTCCCAGCAAGTGGTGGAGCAGCAAAGCACAAAATCAGAACTTTTAGAAGTCTGCTCCACTGAGGGACATTGCTCCAGAAGCTAAGCAAGTGTGGAGCCATCATGGGGACAGTGTGGTCTCAGGACCCATGGGGACACAGAAAGATTGGGGGTGGCTGACTGTAGTAGAACTGCCAGGTATCGGAGCAGGGAAGCTGGCTACAGAGATGGAGCTGAGATGGAAGGCTCTCAGATCGAAGTTACCTTAAACAGTGATCCAAGACACAGTCGGGCCACTGTTCTTTGAGCAGGGAACCCACAAGTGGCAGATCTGGAGATACCCCCTCCTTCCTCCTCTGGGAGGAGTGGCACAGGAGTGTGCAGCAGGAATCTGTTGGGTTTGGAGACTCCAAACAGGGCTGCACACCAGAGATAGAAATGCTCAGTCACAGGCTGGGTGAGCACAGAGTGCAGCTGGAGACGAGGGAGATGGGAGGGATTGACTGGTTTTCTCTGAGCGTGCACTGAAGAGTGGGGCCTCCAGCTCTCAGCTTCTCTGGGGCCAGAGATGGGAGCCTGCCATTTTCATTACTGTCCTCCAAAGCTCTACGGAAAGCATTCAGGGAACAAAATCTCCCAAGGGCGAACCCGAGCAGATTACTTAGCCTGGCCCCTGGCAAGGACAGTGCAATTCCACCTCAGGCAAAGACACTTAAGAATCACCTCAACAGGTCCCTCCCCCAGAAGATCAGCAAGAACCAGCTAAGACCAAGTTCATTGATCAACAGAAACTGCAGAATTCCAGAGCTAGGGGAAAGCAAGACATAGAATTCATGGCTTTACCCCCTTGATCCTTTAGTCTTGCAAACATAAATTTTTTTAATGTTATTTTTTTCTTCTTCTATTTTTTTAACTTTTCCTGTTTCCTCTTTTAACATTTTTAAACTATGTTATCTTATCAATACCTTTTAAAATGTTCATTGTTATAGTTATGCTTTACCCCTTCATTGTATTTAACCTTATTTTTTGTATACATGTAGGGTTTTTTCCTTTAAAATTTTGGGATATAATTTCTTTTAATAGATCAAAATATACCTTAAATATAGCTCCAGACTGATCTCCTCTTTTTTTTTT